CCCTGTCGAGAAGCCGAGCGACGCCCTGGGCCAGCACCCGCCGCCCGTTGCCACCAGCAAAAGTGAGTGGTACTAACTGCCCCCCAGGTCCCAGCACTGGGACGGACCTTCCCCATCCACTGTGGGGCTGCAGCAAAGTTCCTTCTCTCCCCTGATAGAGGAACAAGACCGCCTGTTACGAGGTCGGCCTGACCAGCCGCAGAACCCCAAGATTTTAAGAATTGCCATCATCGGAGCACCCAACGCTGGGAAGTCCACACTCTCTAATCAGCTCTTGGGCAGAAAGGTAAAGCTGGGGTGGAGCAACAAGTTCTGGCTGCTGAATTGCTTTTTTTGATGTGTTCTGGCTGTGTAATATGTTTGATTTCTTACAGGTGTTCCCTGTCTCTAAGAAGGTGCACACAACGCGATGCAAAGCCCGGGGCGTCGTCACCTACGAGGACACACAACTGGTAAGGTTTGAGACCTGCTCCTGCCTGGGGCAGCCGGGAGTGTTAGCCAGAAATCTGCAGGGGTTTTGATTTGTAGCCTGTGGGGTCATTTCTAATGGCACAAATGTAAATTGTGGTTTGGCCACTGACTGCAGAAAAACTGACAAGATCTGTCTTTCCGCTTTCTAGATTATTCTGGACACACCCGGCCTGACTGATCCCCTTAAAGCCAAAAGGTGATGCAGCTGTTGTGGGGAGAGCAGGGGGTCCTATCCATTGAGATTTGATAAAACCAGAGTGCTTTCCACTGCAAAGCTTGTAAAATAGGAATGATAGGAATTTGTATTTTTAGCCTTATTTTGCTCTCTGAGGTTTTTGTATTGTTTCGGTAGCACACAGAGCCTGTGGCATCCCTTGAGCCCTGTTATGTTTGGTTCTGCGTATGTGCACGTCATGAGGGATGTCGCAGCCCGTAAGGCAGCTTTGTGTCTGCTGGGGTGATGGAAAATGCTTTTTTTCCTCCACTTTGAAGGGAAGGAAGAAGACTGTGATCAAGTGTGTCTGACCTACTCATTTGCCTCTGTCTTTCAGACATAAATTAGATGAAGCCATGCTGACAGACCCATGGGACAGCATGAAACATGCAGATTTAGGTGGGTATTCAGCTCCTCTTGGTTCAAGCCAAACCCTTTATCTGCCACAGAAGTTTACAGCCCTAGAACTGTGGAGAGAGAAGTAGCAGCAGGAGGAAGTGACCACAGAGTGCAGAGAGGCTGAAAAGGAACATTTTGGAAAATGCAGGTTGATGATGTTTTTCTCCCTATTTTCTGACAGTTCTGGTTTTGGTGGACGTGTCGGACCACTGGACACGAAACTCTCTGAGCAAGGAGGTGCTGAAGTGTCTTTCTCAGTTTCCCCAGATCCCCAGTGTCCTGGTTCTGAACAAGGTAAATGAGGAGCTTGTTCTTCCTGCCTCCCACAATGTGTTATGCCGGGGTCTTCAGACAGTACCCGGCATCAGCGGTGATTTGTTTTCAGGTTACTGAGTCTGGCTGTGTTAAAGGACTCGGGATGAATTCCTGACACCTCTCTCTCTGCCCTTAGGTGGATCTGCTAAAGAATAAGTTCATCCTGCTGGATCTAGTAACTGAGCTCACAGAGGGAATTGTAAATGGAAAGAAACTGAAAGCGAGATTTGAGTTCAAACGTGATTCCAGTTCTTCAGTGAAGGCTCCTCTTCAGATCACTCAGGCTTCTCCACCTGAGAACAGGGCCCCCGAGTCTCACCATCTGCAGAAAAAAGATCAAGTCCAAGACAGTTCTAGCCTGGACAACAGCAGTGACACGAGGGCTTCAGAGTCCAATCTTGTCACAGAAGCAGAACAAGGGCCAAAGCACTGTGGACCCAGAGATGTAAAAAACATGAAAGGCTGGCCGTGCTTTCAGGAGATCTTCATGCTGGCAGCTCTCCATGGGGAGGAGGTGGATACGCTCAAGGTAACTGCAGTCTGAGCTTCTGGTACGCTTTGAAGCTGGTGTGCTCTTACCCCTGTGGGACCCTGGTACTTCTTGCTGAGCTTCATCTCCTGTGAGGAAGTAGCAGAGCTGTTGTTCCTCGCCTGGGGCGTGTGGAGGGGGAAGTGTTGTCTGTCAGTGTGGAGTGCATCCATGCTGTGTCTCTGGAGATTTCTGTACAGAACTCTTATTTGGGGGTCCCCAGACAGCAGCTTCTTCGTAACAATGAAGCCACCCGACGCAGTATCAGCTGCAAGGGCTGCTGTGGGCTTTTGTAACTCACAGAGGGCTCGGGGCAAGTGTGGCCCTTTGGCAGGGCTTGAGTTTCAGGAACTCCCCTTTCTCCTTTCCCCACCAAAGACTCTAAACTACCACCCCAGTGCAGTGTCCTCTGCAAACTGAGCACGGGGTTGGTGGCACCGTGCGAGTGATACGTGACTGCTGATGAGTGCGATGTGTGTTCTCTGCTGACAGAGGTACCTCCTGATGCAAGCCAAGCCAGGCCGCTGGGACTTTCACAGTGGAGTCTTGACCAGCCAGTCACCTCAAGAAATCTGTAATAATATCATTAGGGAGAAGTATCTGGAGTATCTGCCACTAGAAGTGCCCTACGGCGTGACTCAGGTGGGAAGCGTGCGCACGCAGACTCGCCTTTGAGCTACTTTATCGGAAATACCGGGCTACAGGGTGGGATTCCCTTTATTTGCATGTGTGAAACCTGCCAGGCTCTTCGCAGGCCCTGTGGGGTGACTTGGGACTTGCGTGTCAGGTGTGGTGGGACCCTTCGTGTGTCTGAAGGTGGGGGCTCGTGTCGGGGGCCTGAGCCGATGTCTGAGGGAGCCGTGGTTGTGGGCGCTGAGGCACTTGGTGGAACTGTTGAGCGCCTGCTTGCCGTTGCAGGTGACAGAGATGTGGGAGGAAGGACCGAGCGGGGAGCTCCTCATTGTGCAGAACCTTCTGGTCCCAAGGAAGTCTCATATGGTGAGTCACAAAAGAAGGATGGGGTGCTGGGAAGCGTGAAAGGAGGTTCCCTCCTGTGTGTCCTTGCTGTGACCCCCTCTCCCTCGGCTGTGGGGTCTCTCATGGGAAGAGCCACGTGCCCGACACTGTCACAGGCTGTTCGGTAACAGCTTTGCTGAACCTTTCTGAAGTTGCCCGTGGTTTGATCTTGGGGTCTCTCCGACTGCTCTGTCCTCCTCAGTTGCTTTTATGGCTGCACTGTTGTTTTCTTGGGTGATTTCTCCCCGCAGTTAAGTGAGTAAGGGTGAGTGCGATGATGTTCTCTTTGGGTTTTAATACAGATGATGAAAAGGTAAGGTTATCAGCAGGATTGCGCAGGAGGCTGCCCAGGACCTAATGAACGTTTTCCTGTGTGATGTCCGCTTGAAGCTCAAGGTGGAGTTGAAGAGTTGAGCTCTTTGCGTGTGTTTTACCAGCCCTCCAGCTCTCTGGTCATGCGGAGAAACTGGTCCTGTTTTTCCCTGCGGGAATATTGGCACATTTGTTCAGTCCAGGAACAGAGGATGATGGAATCGATATAGCGGGCTGAAGCAGAATATGTTATTGTTTGGGGGAAGGTCCCAAGCTGAAATAAAATCTTCAGGCCTTCCATGACACCTTATCTTGTGGAAGCTGGGGACGGACACTGGAGAAGTAGCTGCACACCCAGCTCTAGTACTGCCTTTACAGAGCTGTCATCCACTTTTTCTGGGTTCTGTCCTGTATTTGTGCCTGGAAGTTCAGGAGCATCTCCTGCCTTTTAGCGGACAAAGCCTTGCAGTGAAGGATTACCAGCAATGGTTTGTCATCTCTTCTGAAGGTTGAATGACTCCAACAGATGACTGTTAACTGCTGCTTTCCTTTGGGCCTCTTCTGTGTGGCAGTTTGTAAAAATGGGTGCTCCTTCTCTTTGCCTTGTCATCCGTTCCTCCGGCTCCGTCAGCAGTTCGCTGCCCTGGGCATGGACTACTCGTTCCAGAGGGCTGGGTCTGCTCTCAGGCTCGTCCGAGTGGGTTCCCGAGGAAGCAGTCTGTTCTCGGTGTGCGTACGAGCTGCTTCCCTGACCAGCGGTGAGAAGAGACGAAGTCGGAGAACGGCTCGCTGGGCTTGTGTGCATTTGCTGGAGCGTATTGGAAAGGGAGACGGAGCAAGGAATCGGTGTCTTTCTGCCTCTACGCATCTTGTTTCTGGTGCCCAGTGGGGTCCTGCCTGGCCACCCCCCTGGATGTTCAGCTGATGAATGTGAGTCTCCCTGAGCGAGGAGACCCTGGGCTGCTGCCCCAGCAGGGAAGAGATTTGGTAGGGTCTGCTGATGCTCCTGCCTGGAACCCAAACCTGTTGAGTAAATCCTGTCCCTGCTGTCCCTCTCCAGTGCAACACCAAGGGGCTGAAAAGCACCTGAAAGTAGAGAATCCTGCCTTGCTTCCCCCATGGAGGGGACACTGCGGTCTCTTGAATGCTGCTCTCCGAATTTCGTGTTTTCCTTGCAATAAAATGAGGTCTCGGCACAAGTAATTTTTCTCATGTCATGTCTCTCTGCCCCTCAGCCAGATCTCACAGCCACAACCTTCTGGCTAAAACCAGGACTCTTTTATGTCTTCCCTCCTTTTAGATGCTAGGAAAGCCGTGGCTTCTGAAGGCTACACCTTGGTAGGGTGGGGGGAAGAAAAAAAAACCCAAATGTGTGAGTGTGGTTTGAGGGGTCAACAGCATTTCGTCAGATGGGGGCGCAAGGAGGAAGCTGGAGGTCGTGGAGGTCAAGGTCACCTTGTGCTGCTCCCGAGCCTCGTCCCAGGCTTCTTCCAGGCAGGAGAAGGTGATCAAGCCAAGCGCCTAGATTGATGGAGGTGGGGGCAAAAGCTCTTGCCTTGCTGCCCTGCAAGCTTGTGGCCTCTTTGCTGTGAGGGTGGCAGTGTTGGAACAGGCTGCCTGGAGGGAAGCTGGTGTCTCTGTCGCTGGAGACGTTCAAAACCCACCTGGATGCCGTCCTGTGCAACCTGCTCGAGGTGAACCTGCTCTGCCCAGGGGGTTGGACAAGGTGATCTCCAGAGGTTCCCTTCCACCCTAGACATTCTGTGGTGAGACCCTGGCACGGGTTGCTGAGGGAAGTTCATAGAATCCTAGACTGGCCTAGGCTGGAGGGACCGAAGAGATCATTTAATCCAACCTCCCTGTCATGGGCAGGGACGCCTCC